TCAACAAATTGGTGAGGGCACTAGAACAGTCTGCAGCACCCGACCTCATCCTACTAGAATCTGAAGTCAAATATTTACTGTTTGCTGATAATCTGGTGCTTCTGTCACCAACCATGGATGGTCTACAGCAGCACCTAGATATTCTGCACAGATTCTGTCAGACCTGGGCCCTAACAGTAGATCTCAGTAAGACAAAAATAATGGTGTTCCAAAAAAGGTCCAGTTGACATGACCACAAATACAAATTCCATCTAGACACTGTTGCCCTAGAGCACACAAAAAACGATACATACCTCGGCCTAAACATCAGCGCCACAGGTAACTTCCACAAAGCTGTGAACGATCTGAGCGACAAGGCAAGAAGGGCCTTCTATGCCATCAAAAGGAACATAACATTTGACATACCAATTAGCATCTGGCAAAAAATACTTGAATCAGTTATAGAACCCATTGCCCTTTATGGTTGTGAGGTCTGAGGTACGCTCACCAACCAAGAATTCACAAAATGGGACAAACAACAAATTGAGACTCTGCATGCAGAATTCTGCAAAAATTATCCTCAGTGTACAACGTAAAACCCCAAATAATGCATGCAGAGCAGAATTAGGGTGATTATCAAAATCCAGAAAAAGAGCCGTTCAATTCTACAACCACCTAAATGGAAGCGATTCCCAAACCTTCCATAACAAAGCCATTCCCTACTGAGAGATGAACTTGGATAAGAGTCTCCTAAGCAAGTTGGTCCTGGGGCTCTGTTCATAAACACAAACAGACCCCACAGAGCCCCAGGACAACAACACAATTAGACCCAATCAAATCATGAGAAAACAAAAAGAGAATTACTTGACACATTGGAAATAATTAACAAAAAACAGAGCATACTAGAATGCTATTTGGCTCTAAACAGAGAGTACACAGTGGCAGAATACCTGACCACTGTGACTGACCCAAGCTTTGACTATGTACAGACTCAGTGAGCATAGTCAGGCTATTGAGAAAGGCCGCCGTAGGCAGACCTGGCTCTCAAGAGAAGACAGGCTATGTGCACACTGCCCACAAAATGAGGTGGAAACTGAGCTGCACTTCCTAACCTCCTGCCAAATGTATGACCATATTAGAGACACATATTTCCCTCAGATTACAGAGATCCACAAAGAATTCGAAAACAAACCCAATTTTGATAAACTCCCTTATCTATTGGGTGAAATACCACAGTGTGCCATCACAGCAGCAAGATTTGTGACCTGTTGTCACAAGAAAGGGGCAACCAGTGAAGAACAAACACCATTGTAAATACAACCCATATTTATGTTTATTTATTTTCCCATTTGTACTTTAACTATTTGCATATTGTTACAACACTGTATATAGACATAACATGACATTTGAAATGTCTTTATTCTTTTGAAACTTCTGAGTGTAATGTTTACTGTTAATATTTATTGTTTATTTCACTTTTGTTTACTATCTACTTCACTTGCTTTGGCAATGTTAACATACGTTTCCCATGCCAATAAAGCCCTTTGAATTGAATTGAGAGAGAGTTACGTTTAGGGTTAGAATCAGGGTTATGTGTTAGGTTTAAGGTTACAGGTTAAGGTTAAGGTTAGGGTTAGGGTAAGGGTTAGGAGTTAGGTTTAGTGATAGGGCTACATCTCAATAGTCGAAATTACCCTCCTCTTGTCTCCTCTCCTTAATATTGTATCGTCGCATTCAGAGAAAGAGAGAGAGAGCGAGAGAGAGAGAAAGAGCGAGAGAGCGAGAGAGAGAGAAAGAGAGAGAGACAGAGAGAACCCAGCTGCAATCCAGTTTAAAATGTTGTTATGGCACTGTTTGAGTGCTCTTCACCCTCTACTCCACTCATGTCCCTGCTCTGACCCTCTCACACTAACCAGATGACTTCTGTCAAGTAATGAGTTACAAGGGAAAACAGTCAGTGCGTGTGTGTGTGTGTATGTGTGTGTGTGTGTGTGTGTGTGTGTGTGTGTGTGTGTGTGTGTGTGTGTGTGTGTGTGTGTGTGTGTGTTGTGTGTGTGTGTGTGTAGATGCATACGTATGTGTGTACACAAAACATCTGGATGTGGCAATAGACCCTACAACTGCTTGGGGACTACAGAAAGGTGAACAGTATTTTAATCTCTCTCCTCTCATTCCGCTAGAAACACCCCGAAGGAAGAAAAAACTACGAAGAGCCTGAACAGGAATTCTATCTCCTCTCTCCTCTCCTCTTCTGTCTCCCCACCCCCCCCCCTCTCTCTCTCTCTCTCTCTCTCTCTCTTTCTCTCTGTGTGTCTCCCCCCACCCCTCTCTCTCTCTCTCTCTCTCTCGCTCTGTCTCCCCCCCCCCCTCTCTCTCTCTCTCTCTCTATCTCGATCCCTCTCTTGCTCTCAGGTGCTGAGTCACTCAACAGGAACAGCTTCAGTTTCAGTGATGAGAGACTGAACTCTCCCACCGTCTTCACTCCCTCCCCCACCACCCCCCCACCTCTCACGTCACCCAAAGGTGAGCCTCGACACACACACACACTCGCACACACACCCACGCACACACACAACCATCAACATTCACCTTTACACACACACACACACACACACACACACACGTCATTCTGACTAGAACTAGAACTAGATCCTCAGTTTGACAGCCAAAGTGCAGCTCTGTATTACTCCTGTTCAGACAGAAAGACAGAGGCAGGATTCTACATGACGTGTGTTTTAGGAGAAGTCAAATGTTATGATAGGCAGACATATTGCCTTAGGCTTTGAGCACTTCAGCTATCATCAGCTATTCGAATGCGTCAGAGTCCAAGTGACTCGTTGTTCTTCTTTAGTATTGTAGGAGGTGTGTGTGTATGTTTATAGTAGATAGTACCATGTGTGTTCATTTTAAGTTATGCTATTGCATGTGGACAATAAAGTTGGATTCTATTATCTGACCAACTCTCTATGTTGCTTGTTTACAGCTAAACTGGGAGACACTAAAGAACTGGAGGACTTCATTGCTGACCTTGACAAGACATTAGCCAGTAAGTGCTAATGCCTTGCACCATTCACAGTACTTACTCAGGGGGTGTTCTCTATGCTAACCACCACTCTTACACTGTAGCTACATGATCGTCACACCTCTGTGGTTATCCTAAACAACAGGGTTGAGGTATTGAGATGTATGGGGATGTATGGGGATGTATGGGGATGTATGGGGATGTATGGATGTGCCACGTGAGACCTCTAGGGATAGGTGGGAGAAAATATATCCCTTTCAGCTGTCACTCATGTCATTATGACTTGACACACACACACACACACACACACACATGCAAGCACATGCACATGCACACACTCATGCACGCCCCCCCCCTAGCGACAACCTATGTAAGAGCGTAACCCGAGAGAGAGAGAGACTAGTTTATATAGCGGATACAGACCATCATAACTCAGTTTATTTATTTTGGATTGCTCCTTTAACTGCACTCCAGAGTGTTGGAACTTGCATCAGGGCGGTTACATGGGAATGTTCCCGTGTAAAACCTGGGGTGGAATTTCAATTGTAAATGTCAGGATTGGAATGGAATTACCAATGGAAGTGTTCTGGTGCTGTGCTATGAACAGAGAAGCGTAGTCCTTTAATAACGGTTAGAGTACTGAATGTTCCTCATTCAAACCAATGGGACGGTCAGTCAGTCAGTTAGTCACATTACGCAATGGGACAGCAAGTCACATAAAGTAAAGGGACAGTCAGCTATTTGTCACTCAGGGTAAGCAGAGCCTGGCATTTTTATTAGGGTCTACAGTGTTTACCCCCACCCCCCTGGTCTATCCGTCTGACCTGAGGCACGTAGAGGAGTGTACAGTCCATTACTAATCAAACCTCTGTCTGGTTCTGTCTGTGTGTCTGTCTGTCTCTCCTTAGGCATGTGACATAGAGCCGAAGAGAAGTGACAGAGACCCTTTTTGGAGAGTAGCCATCGAGAGGAGGGGAGTCCCTCTCCAGACACCCAGGCGCCCCACAACAAACACACAAACACACACACACACAAACACACACACACACACACACACACACACACACACACACACACACACACACACACACACACACACACACCAGGAGTGCTGTGAACAGGGACAGTCACAGTGGCTGTCAGACGTGCTGAACAACTTCATCTCAAGGCTGTGTCCCAACAGTATAAGACAGCGTCATCTCCTCGTCTCCTTTCCTCGTCCTCGTCTCCTTTCCTCCTCCTTGTCTCCTTTCCTCCTCCTCGTCTCCTTTCCTCATCCTCGTCTCCTTTCCTTCATGAGCTGATCTGATTGGACTGGATAGGTTTTATAGGTTTGTTTACACAGTTAAAATGGGCAAATGTGAAATGGCTCCTCAAGTCCTATTGCTCTATATGGCATTGGGTGTTATTTCTGACACAGCCCTAGTTTATCAACTATTAGAAGTCATGGAGGAGACTAGGGGATGAGATTAGGAAGGAGACAAGGAAATTAAGCTTTGTAAAAGTATTGAGACACTGTCAGACAGACAAACATCATCTCACATACTGTGCGTCTTTTATACAAAACTTGAGCTGGAAGAGTATTTAAGAAATTGCTTTTCATAATAGAAGTATATTTGTAATTTTATAGAGCTGGTCATTGTACATTTATCAATAACGCTTTTTTGTGGTATATTTTATTGTATGTATATGTAAATAATAATTGTTTCAGATTCTATTGCCTTGGTATTAAAAAGCTTATATGATGAGTTTTAGGTTTGGCACTCATTGACTGGAGTTAAGATGTTTTTATGCTTTTAAAGAATGTGAACCGAAATGTGGATTAACTCAGAGAAACTGGAATCCAACAAATTGTATTTAATACAGCTAATGTCTGTTGTCTACAAGAGATAATATTAAAATGAAATATTGTTCTTTTAAAACATGTCTCTTCTCTTTTTTTTCCTGCAGACATCATTGGTTTCCCTTATAACACGTATATCTAAGCTAGCGAAATTAATGTTAATAATTATAGTCTGGATCAGTGTTATAGTGCTCCAGACCCGTCTCGGTCTCAAGTCAATTCTCAAGACCACATATTGAGTGTATCGGTCTTGAGTGTCCCTGACAGTTTTCAATTCAGTTGTATTATACTATATCAAAATACAAACAGCTGTAACAACCTTAAACAATGACAGGTAGACACTTATTCATTGCTCAGAGTTGTATTTTATAATTTTTTTATTTTAACAGGAATTATTCAAAAAATCACATAGGCAGTAGGGAGCAGAGCCCACATCCCAGCCTGGTCTCATAGATAATAAATGTAAATCCGGGACGCTCAAATTAGTAAAAGTTACGATTGGTATGGTTACAGAAGACAGATGGTTACTTACGACAAAAGTAGGGTGGGTGCCTGGGTGGGTGTATAACGCGAACGTCTAGCAACCCAAAGGTTGCTAGTTCAAACCTCATCACGGGCAACTTTTTAGCTACTTTGCAAATACTTAGCATTTTTTTATTTATTTTATTTTATTTCACATTTATTTAACCAGGTAGGCCAGTTGAGAACAAGTTCTCATTTACAACTGCGGACTGGCCAAGATAAAGCAAAGCAGTGTGATAAAAACAACAACACAAAGTTACATATGGGGTAAAAAAACATAAAGTCAATAAATAGGCTATAGTGCAAAATAATTACAATTAGTATTAACACTGGAATGCTAGATGTGCAAGAGATTATGTGCAAATAGAGATAATGGGGTGCAAAAGAGCAAAATAAATAACATGTCAGCTAACCCTTCCCCTGACCTTAACCCTTTTAGCTAACCCTTCCCCTCTTCCCTAACCTTAACCCTTTAGCCTAACTCCTAACCTTAGCCCTAACTCCTAACCCTAACCCCTAGCCTAGATAACGTTAGTGTTAGCCACCTAGTCACCTAGCCACCTAGCTAACATTAGCCACAACAAATTAGAATTCGTAACATATCATTTGTTTTGCAAATTCATAACATATTGTACATTTAGCAAAATAGTAACATATTGTATGTTTAAAGTTTAACTTCAACAATGTTTCACACGCATAAGTTATTTTCAAAGAGATAACTAAAAACAGCAAGTGAGCTGCAATAAAAAATAACAATCGTGGGAAAACTCCTGCTCGCTATTGCGCAGTGACCTGTTAGCCTTCGAGAAGACAGAAGTCTCCATAAGTTTTTGTAAAAATGGTCCCACCCACTACAAATCAAAATGTGATTGGTTGATTCCACCTTCAGTCCAAAATTATGCCTTTATCTAGCTTGTGAAGGCCTAGCCAATGGCTGATTTAGCTAGCTAGATTTATCTCCCCAGAGACCACCAAATAAAAATCCTGATTGGATATTTTCTTCTCTTCAATTTTAAGCCTTTACTTTCCAACCAAAACTGAAGAGATTAAATCAGAACATCAATGAAAAGAAAACTATAATAATAATAATTATTATTATTATTTTATAAATCCTTAGCCCTTCTCTGAAGGTGTAGAATATGCCCTCACTTGAACTCAGCACGCATTTGTTTCCCCATTCTGAATGTCTAAAGAATCCATATGCTGTTCTGAAATATGAACACAGAAATACTGGACATTTTGAACTCTTATTATGGTGATGATTTGACAAAATGACAATCATGGTCTTGAATTGGACTCACATTTTTCTGGTCTCGTTCTTGACCCTCGTCCCATTCCCGGTCTCGGTCTTGACTTGGTCTCGCCCCCCTTACGGTCTTGGTCTTGAATCGGTTTTGCTTTAGGTGGTCTCGAACACAACACTGGTCTGGATACTAAAGCAGTTATTGAAGAACAACATGGAATAAGGTTCAAATTAATGTGAATTGCTACCAACCCTCCACAGGGCTATATTGGGAGGGAGTTAGGGGAGAGCGATTGCTCTGTGGGGATTTTGAGTGAAAGCTGGTCACTGGCCACCACCTCAGCACTTTAGGACTGTCCCCCTCTGTGTCCCTGTCTCTATGACTCCTATGACTGTCCCCTTCTGTGTCCCTGTCTCTATGACTTCTGTGACTGTCCCCCTCAGTTTCCCTATCTCTATTACTTCTATGACTGTCCCCCTCTGTGTCCCTGTCTCTATGACTTCTATGACTGTCCCCCTCTGTGTCCCTGTCTCTATGACTTCCGTGACTGTCCCCCTCAGTGTCCCTGTCTCTATGACGTCCGTGACTGTCCCCCTCAGTGTCCCTATCTCTATGACTTCTATGACTGTCCCCCTCTGTGTCCCTGTCTCTATGACTTCCGTGACTGTCCCCCTCAGTGTCCCTGTCTCTATGACTTCCGTGACTGTCCCCCTCTGTGTCCCTGTCTCTATGACTTCCGTGACTGTCCCCCTCAGTGTCCCTATCTATATGACTTCTATGACTGTCCCCCTCTGTGTCCCTGTCTCTATGACTTCTATGACTGTCCCCCTCTGTGTCCCTGTCTCTATGACTTCTATGACTGTCCCCCTCAGTGTCCCTGTCTCTATGACTTCTATGACTGTCCCCCTAAATGTGTCCACTCTGTGTGAGTGGCAGTCAGTGACCTGCTGTTGGTGTCTGCGCAGGTCTGTGAACAGCTCTGTGGGGCTGAGACAGACACACTGAAATAGACATTCCAAATCCAAGGGCTCTTGTGATCATTACTCAACTCATCAACAAATCTAGTGGTTATGAAACAGACGGTTGGGGCGGTAGGGTGGGTGAGTGCTCTGATGCTGAATGGCAGGGGGGTGGGGGGGCAGGAGGTGTCTATTGGCATATCCTGGGCCTGATCTCTGTCAGCTGATGGCTAAGGTCACAGGTCATTGGGAGAAGACTCCCCCCCAGCGGCTACACAGTCACATTACAGCTAGCGATGATGGGTAGTTTGGCTCTTTCTACTGCAATTTTTTTCCAAATCTAAACTAAAGGATTAAAAAAGGCCACATTTATAGAGTTTGGAGACTGACTCCCATCTGCATGTTGCTCTGAAGCCGCCAAATATCTGCCAGTCTGTGTTACTGCAACCATGGAGGCAGGAAGCTGG